AGAATTGCAGAGCTTGTGCAAATATATCCACATTGATATATCAGAGATGCTTTTCTTATACTTTATTAAAAAAATGCTTGCTGTTTTGTTATGTGTTTATTTTGTAACCTAGAGGAATGCGCACAGCACATGTAAGCAATAAGGTACGAGAGGCTGTGCTGAATCGTGAATAAGTAAAGGCTGAAGGGCGTTGTTAGGCACGACGCGAAGTGCCTGTAACCCCTTCAGCCATTTAGGCTTCTTATTCACGATACAGCACAGCCTCTCGTACCTTATTGTTTTTTTAAAACGGTTACAACACAATACAAATATTAAAGTAAAAAAAAATGTATTAGTGCAACTTTCATGAAGTAAAATCACTAAAAGCCTTCCTTCCGCTAGAAAAAAAAAATAGTCCCTGACCATGAACAGCAAACAACCTTCCAATGTGTAATATGCATGAAAGTTCAAATAAAAACAACATAGGAACTGCAGTGTTGCGCAGAGATAAATAGAACCGTTGGGTAAAGCGGTCGTAGCTATGTTTTATCATGAATAAAGCACAGCTATTGACCAATCAGAATCAAGGATTGGAACTAACCATTTTATAAATTTACATATTAATCTAACCGTCGCTCTCAGCAGTGTGGTCAGAAGTTTGCCAGCAACATATCGCTGGTCATGTAATTTTTTTTAAAGATATTAATATTCATCAAGAATGCATTGTTGATCAAAGGGTGAACAGTAAAGATATGTACATTATTACAAAACAATTATATCATTTCAAATAAATGCTGTTCTTTTGAGTTTCATTGAAGAAATCCTGAAAAAATTTATCATGGTTTAAATAAAACTAATCAAGCAGTTTTTTCAACATTAATAAATAATAATAATAATAAATATTTCATGACCACCAAATCAGCTACATTTAATTTTGGCAATTAATGATTTCTGGATGATCATTTGACTGAAAACTGGAGTAATAAAGCTGAAAATTTAGCTTTGACTTCACAGGAATGAATTACATTTTTAAATATATCAACATATTACTTTTTGATCAAATAAATCCAGCCTTGGTGAGCATAATATACTTCTTTCAAAAACAAAAAAAAAACCCTAGCTGTAGTATGAAAGCACGAGATATTTAGAGTTTTATTTAAGACACTTTATAGGAAGCAAACTATATAGCTTTGTTTTCTGCCTGTGAAATATTCAATATTAATTACTATTGGGGAAACAAAAACACTGATCGTGAAGTCAAAACACATTTCAACAGTTCACGGAGACTGTCATCACGGCTTATTCTAGATATGATTTATCTATGCAAGTCTATTATTGTGGTATCTATCCATTTCAGATTTACTCAACCCTAAAGACCACAAACTGTGGCTCGCTTTTATGTCGGTCAGAGAGTCTCTTCCTGTCTAAGTGGGCGGCTGTTGGCCAGAAAAAGCCACAAATATTCGGAATACCATGAAACATGAATTTCAGATCAACTTTCAAATAACTGTTACTTTCAGCACCTCACAAATGGTCTAGAGCAGTGTACAGAGTTATAGACTACATTTCTCAGCCCTATGTGTTATTAAAATGTATGATATTATTAAGACATCCTAATAGGCTAGATGAACAGGAAGGACTAAACACCTTTACTGTAACTGAAGGCTGCACATTTTGCAGTCAACCAAGCAGGCGAAATGTGGCATTCTACAAATAAAAAATGCCTTTCAAAAGGTTAATGAATTCAGATAACTCATTCAGTGTCTCAGAGTGGCAAATTTGCCCTTGAAAGACTCATCTGAGCTGCCCTTTGGCCTGCGGTTTTCAACCAATCAACAAAAGAATATAAAGCTCATGACACACCAAAAACACATCCTGAAGATTAAAAAACCTCATCCTCCTCACATCAGACCCGTGTGGATGGAGAAAACACAACGCATACAAACACATTATGTCAGCTATTCATAACATAGATAAAGTCTCAAGAGACTTTATAGGAGAACTCCGGCGCAAAATGAACCTTTGGTCTAATTACACATTGGTTCCTAGTCGATAGTTCTGAGATTTGTTTTCATGATAATCATCGAATGTAAAGAGTTTTATCTCTAAAAACTGTTTAGCTTGTACGCTAGTTTATGGGGGCATATAATAAGTAAAGAGAAATCGCTAGTTGATACCACTTACAAGGCTCAAAATAGCCCCACACTAACACAGTAACATAATGAGGGTCTCTGCATGCAAAATGAAGCATTGAGAACTTTGTAAGTGTACAGATCGTTTAACAAGAAGATATTTTATAAAGACAGTGCACTTCGTGTATACAGGGAGCAGCCATTTTGGAAAACAGCCTTGACAAATCGAACCACGAACGCCGTTCAATACATTTCAGAAGTTCGCTGAACTTCATACAGTTCAGCTCACTTGGCACGTCGTTCGTGGTTCGACTTATCGAGACTGTTTTCCAAAGATGGCTGCTGCCTGCATAAACGAAGTGCACTGTCTTTATTAAGTATCTTCTTATTTAACGGTCTGTACTCTTACAAAGTTCTCAATGCTTCGTTTTGCATGTAGGGACCCTAATTATGTTACTGTGTTAGTGTGGGGCTATTTTGAACCTTGTTAGTGGTATTAACTAGTGATTTCTCTTTACTTATTATATGCCCCCATATATTAGCGTATACGCTAAACAGTTTTTAAGAGATAAAACTCTTTACATTCGATTATCATGAAAACAAATCTCAGAGAACGGTCGACTAGGTACCAATGTTTTATTTGACCAAAGGTCCATTTTGCGCCGGAGTTCTCCTTTAATTTCATTTCTAGAGGCTTGCATAATTAAGATATTATGAAAGAAATATATCTACATCAAAATCATTATGATGAACAAGTACTATGAGGGTCAGTGGGACACAGATCCGATCACAATCTTCAGAGCTCAGCATAAATCTAACTTTAGGAATGACAGCTGTTGGTTAGTCTTCTGACCAAAAAAATAAAAATAAAAAAAAAAGATGACCCACAGGTAAAAACAAGGCATTTAAGTCATAACCAATCAAGACACCAAGATCTGCACAGCAGCACATAGCAAAATACTAAAAAATATGTTTCAAAGTGAAAGGACTGTGGACAATAATGGGACATAGGCTAATAATAACTCCGCTATGAAACCTTACCTAGCATTACTAGTCTGATACCAGTCCTGTGAGGAGGACCTCAGATGAGAGCGTCTATTTTAGATTAGAATACAGATGATAAACAGAAACGTGCCAAATCACCAAGTGTAGAAAATAGAAACATTTGAATACAGATGTAAAATGTGTATACCAGAAAATAAAACACACGTACACACAAAACAGAAAATAACAGTTGTTAGCAGGATATAGGCTAAGCAAAAAGATAAACATCACAGTAATTTGTTTGGAGGGATAAAAATACCCATGATTTTACTTCAACAAAGGTTAGACAAAGAAGTTGTTGAATCAAACATTTTATTTTAATCATTTACAATTAATATTAGTTATAATTTCATTCTATTTTTATTGTAACAAATCGTGATTTGGTGTTTTTACACAAAAAACATTAACTCCAACATTGACCTTATTATAGAAATATTAAGCAATCAATGTATCTGTGGTTACTATATCCTTGATCAAAATGCCACAGAAGAGGAATTAAGTTTCATAGGGGAATCATGCACCAGACTCAGCAACAATGATTCTACTTAAATAACCAACAGCGACAAATGACCAAACATGAAGCCACATGGTGCAAATCCCAAGCCACAGTAATGCTGGTAAGGCTTTATAAGAACAAGCTGAGAGGGGCAATGTGACCCAAGCTTTATGGTAATCTGAGCATTAAGTGGCCTCTTTTTGTCTCCTGGAAAACACACAGCCCTTTTCAAAGGTCTGGCTCTGACCGGGGGACCCTGACCCTGTTAGGGGAGCTTGAAACTTCCCTGCCAAATTAGCAACTGCACCACCACAGGAACAGTCATGGATATGCACAGCCAAAAACAGTATTCAGTGCGCTTGCGAAATTTTACCATGGTAACCAGTCTAAATAGTCGCTACCAAAACAAAACGAAGGTAATTTGGTAGTAATCTTGTTTTAAAAAATAAAGTACAATAAATAATGAATGAATACAATCTGGCAGCTTACGATATTTCTTGTGAATTCATTTACTTATTTCAAAGTAACGCAATAACTGACATTTTGACGGAAACTAGCCTATCACCAATTTTGGTAATTCACACAAGTTTACTCTTAATTGGAAAACATGATTTCGAGAATAAAACCTCTTGGGAAAAACAAAGAAACCCCAAACACTTTAGCTTCAATGAACTTGGGGAATCCGAATAACGTTACATCTAACGTTACAGATAATAGTAGCGTTATTCTCTTCGTGATATTTCTAATCCAAACCCCATGAAAATATAAACACCACAGCTGTTCTTTCTCTATCGTACATCGTCTAGGGTTAACGTCACTGAAGAAAGTAACTGTACCAGTAACTGTATGTTTCTCCATAACAATATAATGTAAAAAATAAATAGATAAAAAACTAGTGAGTTGCCTTTTAGCTAGTTTTATCATCAAAAATGACGTGACAGACCCCCAAATCCTGGACACATAACGGGCAAATCACAAAATTGAGGCATTACGCGCGCGTATGTTTCTAAAAACGACTGGAATCTGATGAGAAATGAGGCTTATCCCGCATTTGTTTAGAGAATGGGCCAATGTTGATGTTCGGAGGAGTAAACATTTGCACACGAAATCTATTTATAACCATCAAAACAGAAAAGAGAGTGCATGGTGTTAAATACTCTTATCTGCGAGCGTTTGAACACAGTATGTCTGGTTTTAGTGATTTCGCTAATTCTGCGTCCGTCACTGTCTGTCAGAAACAAAACAGCGCAAAAGAAATTCCTCAAATGACGCAATATCACTGTATACCAAAAAATATCACACCCCGCCCACCTAAATATTATAGCCGTTTTAAAAATGTCTCGTCTTACCTTTATTTTGCAGACGGAGCAACTGCGGTCTGCTGTTCAGATGTGATGCATGAGCAGCATGGCGAAGGAGGCTGTTGTCGATACCCGTACTGACACAGATCAGATATTATTCAGTCGCAGTCAGGACAGTCGCTCCTGCAGTGATCTGCAATGGCGAGCCTGGCTTTCCAGTTGAGGAATTCACCTCTCAAAAATGCAGGGGAAATTATCCAGATGCGGAAAAAAATGCCAGTGCAAACAGTGAAAAGACCATTTTGCACGTCAGCAAAGACAGCTTAAGGTTGATCAGCTTTAACATTACGACGATTTTAGGAGCAGCTACACACACGCGCGCACCCACACAGACGCGCGCACACTGGCAGTTTGAGCTTTTGTATTTTGGGGGGTGTGTATAAAGTGCGTAAAGGGAAATATTTTAGCATGCCTTCAGTTCGTTAATGCGTATGTAAACGAGTCCACACGAGTAAATGTCCCGATGTTCAGAAGGTAGGGAAATTCCAATGCATCCATTTAAAATGATACTGCACTGACATGAAGCGTTCACTGGATTTTCGTTTGTGGCGCTCCAGCAGCCATTTTGTTGAAACTGACAACAGCGGCTCAAGTGAGTCTCAGTAGAGTAAAACAGGAAGTGCCCCCAATTCCTCAGCGGCACGCCACGTGACTTCGACTAACAAACAATCCAACCCCTATGTTAAAATATCGCTCCGCCTTTATTGTTGCTATGACAACGAGGGTAGAGAAACCTCCTCCCTCCCCCAACAACACGTTAACCCAGCCATCCCTTATGTTTCTCTCATTTGATAAATCATTAATCGGGATTTTTTACAGCATACCTAATATAAAACCATAGTTGTTCTAGAGAGCTCTTGCATCCATTTTAGTAACAAGGTTTAACGTAGCCTACCACAGATTAAATATGTTTTTTTTTAAACATCGTTCCACCGGCAGGGGGCGCAATTTCAACAAACCACTAGCAGCTAGACATCACTTGGCAATCATCTCATCCTGAAGGGAATACTTCAGGATTTAGCATTAAGATTTGTATTAGTAGAAAACCTGTACCTAGTATTTTTGAATTAGCATGCTTTCCAACCTCATATCCCCTAAGACGAGAGATTTATGTATATTTTGTCTGGAAAAAATCCTCCGATGACGCACGCAAAAATCGTAATTTTGCGTCAATCGGAGGATTTTTTGGCCAGAGGCTACAGTCAGTTGTAGGGGCTGTTCCACATGTTTTCAACCCACCCATAGAGGGTGGGATCTCACTCATAGAATATACACATAGTGTCAGCCATCTTTTTTTGGAAGCTATAAGCTTGGAGGCTCTTGTTCTGTGGAAAAAGCTGAGTAGTAGGGGTTAGAGATACGAGACCTGTGCGTCTCACAGGTGTCGCTCATCGGTAATCACGCCACCGGCCTCGCACCATGCTCCCGCGGCCCTTGGCCTCATCCTTCTCGCCACAGCAAACATAATGAATGCCGACTACAGAATGCAAAAATCGAATCCCGGACTTGTTGTTTAACTACTGCGCTCTGTTACCGGTGGGTGTGGCCTCCTAGCAAGTGCATTCTGGGAGTTGTTGTCTTTCAATTTCTTTGAGCCAAAAATACATTTTCTGGCTTTTCTCAGTCTAGAAAGCTCCAAATTCAAAAATAATTTCACATTTCCATAATTTCACATTTCCAGAGGTGAAGTTTCCCTTTAATAATGAGCTAACTTGTGTGGAAGAAATTTTAACCTTGAGATGTGTGTGACCATCATATGACATTAAAAGAGCACACATAAACCTTATTCTAATATGGAATTAGTAAAAAGTGTTTGTACATACATGACAGGAGGGCCTCAAGGATAAAATATGACAAAAAAAGTTTAAAAATGTTCCACATATGGTTGAAAATACCATAATTGGCCTAAAAAGAGAACATTCTGGGAGTCAAGACTATGGAGGAAGGGTGCCCTCCCTTCACAGTCACACTCTACAGCCACTCTGTGTGACTGTATGACTGAGCCTTTTCTTGCAAGAAAATAAACATCATCAAGACAATTGGAAATGTTTGTCTCCTATTCAGTGATAGAATTGTGTTTGCCACCACACTTGCTTACTGAATCATTCAATGTATTATCCCTCACTGACAGAGAAGGTGGCTTTCCGATATTCCTGTTTTGGGGGGCTCTGGATTGACACATCTTGACTGGCTCGCCAGCTTTTTTTTTTTTTTCTAACAAACATCAAAATCAAAACAATTACCGTTTTAAAATGAGGTGTTTTTGATCGTTTTGAACAATTTGATCGTTGTTACAAATAAAATATGGAATGTGTATTGTATGCCTTTATGTAATTTATGATGAGATTTTCTGTATTTATTTACACCACTTTAGTAATTACATTTAAATAGAGAACATGGACTGTTTCAACACATTTTATCTGCAACAGTTGTTTTTACATCTCTGAAATGTTATTTTTCTGCTGAACTTATTTTAATCTTATTGAGATTATCCTCACAGAAGCTGGTGTTATCAAGTATATGGCTTTCATAAGGGAATACTCAACCTTCATACTGAAATATAGGTTTAAAAGTGAAGGCATGTATATGGTCTCCACCCAGGGGGACTTTTTCACATTGCAACACTGATCCACCTCTGTCCCTTTCCAGCTTAGCTTTATTGCATAGACTGGGAAAGACAAATATGATCAGAGAGCTAGCCAAACATTTCGCTGAGCAATGAGCCAAAACCTGATCTCACTAAGGACTCATCTTTCTCGCACTCATTAGCATTCATCCACCCAATGACAGCCAGAGCACTTCTGTTGGCCAGATGAATCCGAGAGGACGGCTGGGTCGCTTGTGGTATAGTTAAGAGACAAGGGCTCACCGATAAAGTCGTGCTGACAGACCTTCAAGGGGCCAATTAAATAACAATCCGCCCTAATGTCATCTGCATATGGATTACGGCTGAGAAATGTATTGCGGTGGCAGAGGAGAAACATGATTACTGAGTGTGTTTAATTATGAAGTATGTATAGAGGCATAAAAGATCAGCTTGGCAGGGAGGGCTAATCACAGTTTATGGCAATTAATCTTGGTTGTCGTGATAATTCAGATTTATTATTCACCGCGTCACCTCTTCAGCACAGGAACAACGTCAGAGCTGCAAAGGAGGCAACCCAGACTTCACACAGGCACTGAAAAGTCATGTCTTGTGGGAGCAACTTAAGACAATAAAATAATTACTTGGGAATGTGTGTTGATTTACAGACCAATGTTCAGGTTGCCACAGTTATGGGCAGGGCAGATTTCTGAGTTTTATTAATTTCCCTTGAGATCATCAAATAGATAATGGAAGGAGATGGAGCAGGATCAGGCTTCACATGCTGCATCACATATTACAATGTCCAAGTAAAATGTTGAAATTAGAGCATTCTAGCTGTCACATGCAAAGAGGAATATTGTTAAATTGTGTTCAAAGAAGCCAGATAAATGATACAAAACAGTGGTAACCAGCCCTTTATTAAGTTATTAACCATAATCAGGTTAATATGGAATAACTGGGTTAGTATTATTTATATTATAGTATTTATTAATATTTTGAATTACACTTTAATGTTTTCATTTTTCATTTTAGTAATTTTGTTGTGCTTTTGTCATTTTAGTTTTTCTTGTAATTTTTTAGTAATTTTAGCACTTTTGAAATTTGACTAAATAAGTTTAAGTTTTCCATCTGAAATTTATAGTATTTCATTTTATTTCAGCTTTGTTAAGGTTTTCGTTTTATTTAAAAAATGACAACACTAATTTGTATTGCAATTTGAATGTCCATATTTCGAAAAGTTCACATCTTTTGCACCAGTTCTTCTCATTTCTTCATTTTTATTCTTAATTTAAATGTCCAATAAAAGTTCAGAGTTTGCAGCTCTGTTTAGCATTTACCCTGTTACCATTTACATCTATTATGAATAATTACGTATAAAATACATATTATATACATAAATAATAATATAATATATAGTTATCCTACTGACCTTGGCCTTTATCAATCCCTCCTATCTTCCTTCTCTGCCAATGCCTCTACTGCTAAAATAACGTATCACAACAAAATCAACACAACATCTGACTCTTGCATGCTTTTCAAAACCTTCTCAAGAATTCTCAACCCTAACAGCTGACGATTTTGCCACATTCTTCATAAATAAAACCACCACCATCAGCGGCCAATTTGCTACACCACAAACTGGCACACACATCTTAACAGCTAACACACACACATTCTCCCCTCCTTCTCTTCGCTCTTAGAGACAGGAGTATCTAAACTCATCCTTTCCAATCTCCCTGCCCTCTTGATCCTATTCCCATCTACTTCAAGCTATTTCTTCTTCAGTTGTACCCGCACTCACTCACATCATCAACACCTCTCTTCACACTGGTACTTTTCCCACAGCATTTAAACAGGCTCAGGTAACCCCACTCTTATAAAACCCACTAAATCCAGCACATCTGGAAAGTTACAGACCGGTATACCTTCTTGCAGTCGTTGCAAAAACACTTGAACGAGTGGTTTTAACCAGATCTCTACCTTTCTTACACAGACCAACCTACTGGACAACAACCACTCAACTGAGACTGTCCTGCTCTCGATTATTGAAGCTCTTAGACTGGCAAGAGCAGCTTCCAAATCCTCAGTTCTCATCCTGTTGAATCTGTCTGCTGCCTTTAACCAACCACCAGATCTTCCTGTCAATCCTAAAAACGAAGGGCAACTTGGGAACCGCACTCCAATGGTTCAAGTCATACCTCTCTCAGGTAGGTCCTTTAGTCTCGTGCAATGGTGAGGTGTCTACGTCGCAACACCTAGCTTCTGGGGTGCCTCAGGGCTCAGTGCTTGGACCACTTCTCTTCTCCATCTACATGACATAGGATCTGCCATTCAGAAACATGGTTTTTCATGTCACTGGTATGCTGATGACACACAACTCTGACTGACATTTCTGGCAGGATGAAGAATCACTACCTTCGACTAAACCTTGCGAAGACAGAGCTGCCTGTGGTCCCCGTCAACCCAACACTACACCTCAACTTCTCCATTCAGCTAAGTTCCTCAACCATATCTCCATCAAGGTCAGTCGGGAACTTTGGAGTTGTGATTGATGATCTATTGAACTTCACAGACCACACTGCTGGACCTGGCCGGTCCTGCAGATTAGCCTTGCACAACATCAGGAGGATCAGGCCCTTCCTATCAGAGCATGCTACACAACTTCTTTCCCAAGCTCTGTTTAGCATTTACCCTATTAACATTTATTATGTATAAGTACATAGATAAAATACATAAATAATAATACAATATATAGTTATAAAGTGATAATATAATTATTAAATTATAATTATATTACAAAAGGTTTTAAAGATTTAAGTCAATTTAGACCTGTCCATAACCGTCCAGCCACCAAAAAATCCATCTCAGTTCTTCAGCTCATATGCGGATGTTTATTTTAGATACATCAGCACTGGTTCGCTTTACTTGTGTTATAATCACGCACGCTTGTTGAACAAGCATTAGACCTTTGTGGTCTCCATGGCATTAGGGGAGCAGTGTAGAAAGGTTAA